GGGGGGTGGGGTTCCTTCGGAACATATAAAGAAGCAATTGCATTTGACGTGACAACAGACTATCCGACTCAGAAGAAAGACATAGAAATGGAAAACCCTGTAAGAGTCCCTCTCAGTTGCTCTTCTTCCCCTTGCGTCCCCGACCCTTCTTCATCTCCTGAATGCCACCCCGCACAAATCCGACCCCAGTGTTGGCCGCCCTCTCACTGCGCTCCTTGACCCGGTGCTTCTCCGCCTCGGCACGCATATCATCAATCACATCCTGTCCTTCGCTCGTGCCATGCGCCCAATCCAACACGCCCCAAGCACCGTAATTCCCAGCCCCCTGACCGGCGTAATGAATCGCCGTCCGGCGCGTGATCCCACCCATGACGATGCCGGGGACGACGCTGTACCCAGACATGGCCATAGTCTCTTCGGTGGTACAAAAGCCGATAAAGAGAAAGTACGTCAGCAGATGAGGGCGGAGGATGAGGGCGGGAACGAAGATGGGCACGATGCGATGGAGAAGGAACGGAATTGGGTGGTCGGCGAAGAGCATCAGCGAGAACGGCGGCGCGGCGCGGGTGTGGGCGTACGAGGCGTGGAGCTTGCCGATGCGCGTCGAGGCGAGGCGGCGGCCGCGGGAGTGCAGGACGCGCGTGTGGATGTAGTACGTCAGGACCTCACGGGCGGTGATGAGGAAGGCCATGTGCTTCAGGAGCTGGAACGGTAGCGGAAGAGCTGTGGACGCGCGGAAGAGGGGTTCGCGGAAGTAGGAGGCGTACGCCAGGCTTGTGCCACCCTTAAGGCCGGCGGATAGGGCGAGATTGAATAGGGCAAGGCCGAGGGTCTTGAGCAGAGTTACGCCGTGGGCTGGCGGGAGAGCTGCGGCGCCAGCGGTCTTGATCGATTCTGATACAGAGGGGAGGAGGGTGTCGAAGAGGAGGAAGGCGAGGGAGGGGAGGAGCCAGAGGATGAGGCGGATGGAAAGTTCGCCGAGGAGCTGAATCTTGAGGGGACCATGGGATAGGACGAGAGTCGTCCAGGTCATGTAGAAGAAGAGGAGGTTGAGGGAGGTCGTCCAGGAGGTTATGGAGGGGGCAAGGAAGTAGGACACTATGGGGAGGGAGAGGAGGATATCCATGGTGGTGATGTCGATAGTGAAGGGTGAGGTGAGTGGTTGTGGTGAGATGAGTTGGTTGTGACTTAGATCAGGTGTAAGTGGGAGTCGACTGAGTGAGCTGCAAGTCTAGGTCTTAAGTGAATGGCGCCAAAGCCTTGATGGAGATGTCGGTCGCAAAATTGAAAACGGCGACAGGTGTTGCAACTCGGTGAAGAGCTCATGCTGATTTGCGATAGGGCTGAGCCATTGAATGGGAGGGCAGGTGGTAAATGAGCTGCTGCTGCAGCATCCAGGCGCACGTTGGCAGCCATGACGTAGGACCGTCGCATGGGTATATGGGTGTGTTGATTGTTGCGTCCCACTACAAGTTAGCGCCAGAACTGCACCAAACAGGATATCTTGGAGAAGGCTGAGGTCAAGAGCGACAAGCGGTTTGGAATCTGTCGTGGATCCAAAACTCGAGTGGTTGCGTTCATGGCAGGCACCTGGCAGAGGAAGGAGGTTCTTTCCCGACAATGTCCATCAGCGGACTGCATTCCGACCTCATCGCGGACTGTTTGGCCCCACTTTGCCCCGACACGCCGGCCCGGAGTTGACTGGGGAGAACAATGGCTCGGAAGGCTTGTTTTTGAAAGCTCCTCGTCAGATATCCTAGCGACTTGGTTCCACATACTCCTGTGCTATATCTTGCTCGCGGGAAGGAATCGTAGATCCTATAAAGTTAATGATGCTATGCCGGGTTACCTTGATTTTGATGTTGAGCTGAGAATCGCTCTCTTGGCGCCCGCAAACCTCTTGAAGGCAACTCTGTTTAGGTCCCCAAGACGATTGCGCATACACTGAGAGCATAGAAAAATGGTACGTATCTCTTCTCTTGGTTGGCAGCCACGTAGTTAGTAATATGCAAACCTTACGTGCATGTAGATAGGTAAAGAGGGAGCGCCACCACTAAAGTTAATAGGTTCGGCCAGCAGCGGCACAAATGAAATCTTTAAAAGGAAAGGTAGCAGGACCAGATATAGTTCGGTGGGCCCTGCCTAAAGTGTGGGAGGGCAAAATCTACACACATCCACCAAAACCCCGGCAAAACCCAAAAAGTATCGACGAAGACAAGATTCGAACTTGCGCGACCGAAGCCACATGCTTGATTCTTTTCATCTTGGGAGATGATGAGGTAATTCGAGGCATGCCCATTAACCACTCTGGCACTTCGCCTTGGTTTGTTTGATGGCAGGAAAGGGGCTTGTTGTGGACTAGGTTGGTTGAGCAATGTGGGCGGGTGGGCTTGCATGCATGTCTTGGATCGAGATCCGCACCAGGACTCAGCCGCAGAAAAGGGTGGGATGGGATACATGGAAGGCGGGAAGGGACATGGTGCGGGAAGGCTTGTCTGATATGCAATTAATATATGGGATTCTGCAGCAGATGTTGTAAACGGCCTTTTGCACTTCACCTCACTACCTCCTTTCATCTCCCATTCTGGATTTCCATGTAAGGACCAATTGCGGAGGAAACGCAAGCAAGGGAAAGGGAGGGGCGGAGCGATTGTTCGATATGCAAAGTTTGGATGGATACAAAGACTCCACAAAGAAGACTATGCGCAAACTGGGTTTCGTACATTTGGCTCAGTCTCTTTGTGGATTTCTAGATGATAAGATCCTCGGAAGACGTCTAGAATACATTTACAAGAGAGGATAAGTGTCACAGTACCCAAGGAAAGCCTCGTCATACATGCAACCGACGGACGTTAAATTCCACAAAGGAGATCGTATTAACACATTACTCGGCCTCTGTCCACAGCTGCTGCAAGACAGACAACCCGATGCTGTACTACTGCTATATACTATGGAGCGAAGAAGCAAGGCTGCTCCATGACGAACCTGCCGGCCCTGGTCTTTTCCCTGACGGCTTCGGAGCCTTTCGAAGCTTATCCCCAGGACGCCCAATCAACCAACCAACCCTGCCGTAAGCCTGCAGACGCGCTCGTCGCCAATGACATACAAAAAGGTATACCACACAAATCATACATGGACCGCGTAAGACTAATTAAAAAACTCCCCCCTAAGTAGGTATTGGATATAAATCAAAAGTGTAGGTCAAATCGTAAATGGCTCAACGTCATTCCAATGTCCAAAGGAGAAATCAAGAAGAAGAAAAAATGTGACCGTAGAATGGGGGGGGGGGGACACGTATCCTCAGCATCAAAGACCCTTTATCGCGTACCGGTCCTCCGACCGCGGTCATCCTTTTTGGACGTGGCTCGTAGCCAGTCGTCCCATTCCTTGCTAATCTCCATAAGCACCGCGCCCATGACACTGGCGCTCGCCATCAAGCCGTGGCCTTCGCCCTCGAGAACGCGCACCTCGCAGCGTTTCATCGTCTTGCCGAGCCATTTGACATTGTCAACCGGCACGCGCGTGTCGCGACTCCCGTGGTGAATAATGACAGGCCGCGTAATGTCAACGTATCGGAAACCGATTGTGTGTCTGCGCTCCAGGCAGACTAGTAGATCAACAGCGGGGTTGGCACCCGTTGTGGCCAGCTCCCAGATGGCGTGTGTCAATCTTGTGTCGTAGATGGTCTGACGCTCCTTATCCATCAATGCATCCGACGCAGCGGCGATGACCTGCGCGTTGGCATCGTAGTGACCTTGCGCAGATGCCGTACCAGTTGGCCTGATTCTATCCATGGTCTCTGTGGCGGACAGGGCGGGTCTGCCCGAGAGGTCGTCACCCGTGCTATTGCGATCGAAGTTCAGGCCTAGGTTTTCCTTGTCGATGTGGGGTGTCGTGTCCCGCTTGCTGCCATGCGTCGCCGGGGTGTCCCGGCCAGTTGTCGCGGTGGATTTGCGCTTGCTACGTCTGGGGTTCTTGGGCAGCGAGCTGGTGATGGAACTGCTCGTCGCAGACATGAACGAACTATTGGCAGCCTTCAGGAACGTCGTCGGGAGCGCTCGCAGGATGCGCTGCGAAGTAGGGATCGCATTGGTCGGCGGCAGCGCCTGCGACGTGCCGAACACGTTCATCTGCGAGGGCGGAATCCAGGGCGCGAGCAAATGTATCTTACCCCGGATGTGCTGGGGCATCCGTAGAGCAGTAGCCAGTGCGTAAATGGCACCGGCGGAGTGGGCGAGGATCGAAAACTTGGTAATCTTCAGAGCCTGGCAAATCGCGTATACATCATCGGGCCAGCTGAGCGGCGTCGCGGTTCCATCGGCGTATGATTCGCTGTCGCCCACGCCGGGTCTGTCGGGTGTGATGAGACGAAGCTTCAGCGTCAATGCGAGCTCGTCGTAGAATGCCGTGATATACCTCGTCAATCCCATTCCCACACAGCAAAAGACGGCCGAGCCATCTGCGTCGCCCACTTCGGAAAAGGAAATCACGCGTCCGGTCTGCGGGTGTCGGATCTTTTGCGACAAGCGAGGAGAACACAGGTACGATTCGACAGCGTCGTCAATCGAATCTGCACTGCGGGGGCGCTCATACCCGGCCGGCATGCTGTTGCGTGGGTCGGGCGATGCTGCCGAGTTGCGCGAGCTCGCCTGCGATTCATCTCCCTTGGGACTCAATGGCTGAGAGAGCCTCTTCAGCCTGGAACTACTGCGCTTCATCTTGATGGCTTCGCCTGCGTCTGGGGTCTCGCGCGTTGATTTCCGTCTGCTGTTCCGGTCGGCAATCTGCTCATCCCGACGACGACCTTGAGCGACAGCGGGGAACGGTGCACCATCCTCCACATCGTCTTCTTCAAATAACGGCACTGTTGCTGGGAAGTTGTCCGTGTGCCTAGACTCGAAAAATGGGCGGCTAAAAGACCTTCCGGATGCGTCTGCTGACACTCTAGCCAGGTCGTTTTCGGAAGCATGGCGAGATAAGTGTTTCCGCCGCGTCGGTGCCTCCCGCGAAGAGGTCTGCTCCTCGCCCTCAAATATGACATCGTTGGTGCTGTTCCCGCTTTCTCTCTTTGACCTTGAGGATCTCGTAGATGATCTCTTTGCATTTGCTCCGGTTTTGAATAACGACGAGTCCCTCGCAGGAATCGCTCTTGGGCTGCTGGCGGATTCGGGGCCTGGGCTCGTCATTTCGTGATGTTTGCGGGTGTTTTCTCTAGTGGGATAATCTGGTGTGTAGGCGGGCTCTTCGCTGATGGGCGTCTCGGCGAGGAAGGGGTCGGGTCGTAGGGAGGCTCCGGTGAAGCTGTTGGAACTGCGGTCGCCGATGCTCGCGCGTTTCTTTTCTTCCTTTTCTCGCAGTCGCTCCTTGGAACTCATATACATCAAGCCCCTGTGACTTCTTCCCTGCTTCTTGCCCCAACTATCAAAGGAGCGCTGTCTCTTGAGCTCTGGGGTAGGCACAGAACCACGTTCTACCGAAAGATTGCCTATGCTCTGCGTATCATCCCGCGACCCGAGCGAACCTTTGGAGGAGGGCCTTGAAGAGCTTCGCAGGAGGGACTTGAGGCCGCCGGATCCGTCGCGGGTGGGGGATGACTTGGGGGCGGTCAAGGGCGAGAATCCGGAGGGGGGTTTGGCGGTTCGGATGACGGGGGCGGAGGCGGCGATCTCGTCGAGGGACAAGTCTTCTTTGCGGAGTTGTTCGAGAGAGGGCTGGTGAAAGGCGCCGTAGTCGACTCCAAAGCTGCCCTGGCGGGGAGTTGCGGGAACAGATAAGCTCGGGGCGCTGCGCTCAAAGTGTTGGTCGGCGGGTTTGGATATCACAGCAAAGCTGGTGATGAGAGAAGAGATGACCTCGGGAGAGCTGGAAACGGCATCGGCGTGGCGCGACGGAGGAGGTGGTGGGAGAGAGCGGTTTCGCGGCTGAGGTTCAGGGGTTTGAAGATTCCGGTAGCGTTGGGGGATAGGGGGGATTGAGTTTGGATCGTAGTCGTCCATGGCGACGCAGGGAGAGAGAAAGAGAATACCGGTAGTCGACGGACCACGCCAGACCAGACCAGACCAGACCAGACCAGCAGACCAGCAGACCAGCAGACCACGCGAGCGCAGGACGACACGAAACCGGGCT